GCTCCCCAACCAGAAGCTGTCGGTGGAGCAGGCCGTTTCCAGCGGGCTGGTGGGCAGCGAGCTGCAGGAGAAGCTGCTGTCGGCCGAGCGGGCCGTGACGGGCTACACCGACCCCTACACGGGCCAGCAGATCTCCCTCTTCCAGGCCATGAAGAAGGAGCTGATCGTCAAGGAGCACGGCATCCGCCTGCTGGAGGCCCAGATCGCCACGGGCGGCATCATCGACCCCGTGCACAGCCACCGCCTGCCCGTGGAGGTGGCCTACCAGAGGGGCTACTTCGACCAGGAGATGAGCCGCGTCCTGTCCGACCCCAGCGACGACACCAAGGGCTTCTTCGACCCCAACACCCACGAGAACTTCACCTACATGCAGCTCCTGCGCCGCTGCGTGCCCGACCCGGACACTGGACTTTACTTCCTCAAAGTTGTTTGAAATAATTTTGAATCTTGTTGCACTGTTTATCTTTCTCTCTCCTTTGGTCAGCATTTTAGTCACTGTGAATATTTCTTCTTGTGGTGGTATTTTATTTTTTATTATTGTTATTTTTATTCCCTGTATTTTAAAATTCTCGTTCATCTCAGAATGTTTCCTTGTTCTCTTCCTTTTTCCAGAACTTGCCCACATCAAGAATGGTCTTAAGTGACTTCCCTGAATCTTATGGTTTTGCTGTGGATCCTTTGTTTTCTGTAGCTTTCAGGATCACATATTCCAGCCTGGGTTATGTCAGGTCATTTTAGTGAAATACATTGTCCTCATTTTCCTTATCCAGGTTGAAATGGAATTTTGTCTTTTGATGTGCGTGGCTTGTAGTGAGAGCCGGATTCTTATTCTCCTTCTAGTCTGCTTTCTCATGCAAGAAGGACATTGTTTTCTTGGAGATTTGCAGGACAATGTTGGAGTGGCAGGTTTTCATACCTGGATTTTCCATGGACAGCACATTTCCATGTACATACAGGGTCAGCGTGGTGTTTGGTGATACTGGATGGGGACACATCATCTGTGTTTCCTCTCCAAGCCTCAGCCTGTCTAGTTTTCCTGGGATGTCTGGAGCACAAACACCCTCAGCTCAGGCTGGTTTGGGCTCTCACTGCTCTGTTCCCACCAGTCTCTCTCAGGCTCTCCTTTGCACCCCTCCAGTTCTCCAGCTCTCCATGGAATCTCCACAGAGAGCAATGGTGAGGGATCCACACAAGAACTGGGAGCCTGTGGGGCACCTTGTCTTGCACCTTGTCCTGCCAGGAGTCTAGTGTATCCTTCCATGTGCAGGGGAGCCAGCAGTGGAGCACCTGCTCCCAGGTATAGAATCATGGAACCATGGAATTGTTTGCTCTGGGAAAGCCCTTTAGGATCATCCAGTCCCACCCATTCCTCCAGCCCTGCCAAGGCCACCACTGCCCCATGTCCCTCAGCACCATCTCCAGGGCTTTTAAACCCCTCCAGGCATGGGGACTCCACCTCTGCCCTGGGCAGCCTAGGCCAGGCCCTGACAGCCCTTTCCAAGAAGGAATTGTTCCCCATATGCTCAGAGGAAAGAAAAGGCAAGACCAAGGTGGGGACTCATCTCAGTGAGGGGGTCACTGGTGGGGCCTGAGGGACCCCTACTGGGAGCTGGGCTGTTCCCCACCAGCAAGCACAAGCTGGAGATGCTGTGAACAGGGAAGGAGCAGATGGTGTTAAATTATTCAGCTTAGGAGAGAAAAGTCCCTGCTGCCAAAGCTGCAGGAGGAGCCAGCAGCACCGAGTGACCTGGATAGAAACAGCAGATGATGCTCTAGGCAGGGACAAAGGCACAGACGGGGGGGAAAGGACCCTGGTGTCCACATCCCCAGCTCTGAGCTGCTACTGCCCACCAGCAAGAATCCTAAAGGGTTATTTCGTGTCTGCTCAGCAGCCATCAGCATAAATCAGATGTGAGGGAACGTGCCCATGCCAGGTTAACACACACCAGCTGTGTCCATCCATAACACCCCGAGAGGAGACTGGGCTCCTTGGTGGGGCTGCAGCCAGGATCCCAGCAGTGGCCCAGCTTTGGTGGTTAGAGGGGCTTGGGTGGTGCAAGGTGGTGTGGAAGGAGAGGACCTGCTCCTCTGAGGGTATCTGGGCAGAGGAGCCATCAACAAGAACACAAAGGAGCAAACTTGACCCACAAGTGGTGGGGGAGGTGGTAATGGGAACAAACCTGGCCAGTCACACCAGTCAGTCAGGGTGTATGGAGGGAGGATGATGGTGGTTCCTGGTGAGATCACAAGGAAACCAAGGGAGGCAAACACAGAGACATCAAACCTGACCAATTAGTGTTAATGGAGTGTTAATGAAGACAATTACCAGAAACAAACCTGGCACTAATTGACAGGCTATCAGGAAACTGCAGGCACACCAGAGATGGCAGCTGTGGATGTGACCGTGACAGCTCCCTGGATTTGGTCCCACAGACCATGTCCCCCAAAAAAAGCTATAGAGAGTCACCAGCTGCTTCTGGTGCCTTTGGGTCTGCTGGAGCATGTAGGTGGCAAGGAAGGTCCAGAGACTGCTAAGAGTCTCTGAGCAGGCTGTGCACTTTCAGGGAAAACCAGATCTACAGGGTCTTCCCAGAGACCTGGGGCCCAGGCCTCGGATGCTGCAGAGAGACCAACACGATCTGTCCAGCCCTCAGACCAGTAGCTCTGGCTTCCTTTTCATGCAGGCACCACTCACCCTGCCAGGAGGGACCTGGAGGATGTGGACAGTGGCTGCAGGGCTCTGGGAGCAAGGACCTGGCACCTCCCTCTGCTGCCCTTCAGCAAAGGAGCCTCATGCAGTTGAAATCCCAAGGGAAACTGTCATGGTTTGGGCCCAACACAACAACAAAAGGAGCAGCCCCATGGCTGTTCCCTCAACTACCCACACACACACACAGTCTGGGATGAGGACAAAGCTCCTGGGTTGAGAAAAAAGGACAAGGAGGGTTCTTCACTGATTAAGGACCCGGGAAAAACAGACTAAACTTGGGGAAAAAATAATAATTTAATTGCACACTAATCACACACACAGAGGACACAGACACACCCAGAGCAGGGCTTGCACACGTTACCCCTCCCCTCCCTTATTCTTGTGCCCAAATCCCTTTGTTCCCAGTTTTTCTCCCTCCTTCTCCGCAGTGGCACAGGGGGATGGGGATGGGGTTTAGAGTCCCTGCACAGGCTGGTGGTTCCTGCTACTCCTTCCTCCTCAGGGAGAAGGATTCCTCACAGTCCTGC